AAGTAACCTTCTTCACACCAGTAAGTTGCTAAAGAGGATCATGTAAGTTTCATTTGATAATTCAGTGTCAGCCAAAGTAGCTTCATGACTTCTCCCTACTTTGAGAGGCTCAGGGCCCTGCTATAGTCTCTAAAAAGGCCGTTAGACTATCACAGCTTCTTTAACAGATTTGCCTTCTTTCTACTCCTTCCAGAGGCTTTGTTCAAATCAAATTTTGCCCAGGTGAGTACAACTGCTAACTGATCTGTAGCCTTCTTGCTAACCCAGCTCCAGTTCAAACAATCACCTTCTGGTTATCAAAATAATCTGTTTAAATATTAATAAAACAGAGAGAGGAGACTGAGGACCTCTGCCTCTTAGCCATCTTTATAACCAGCTAGTCATGTTGCATTTATGGCCTCCATATGTTAAATATGAGACACCTACCCTGAGACCCAATAGGGTCAATGATTATTGAGTGCACAGGACTTTAAAATAGTGCTAACACCCTCTCTGGACAGGTTCCTGTAGAGATCACCCTTCATTGCCTAGTCAAATTCTTTATACAAGGAATTTTTGAGTAAACAGCATTATCAAGCCAATTATGGACTGTTTTCACAAAAATATGGTGTCTGCCTGAAATTTTGCATCACCTGCTCTTCTCTTGGTGCAGGACATATCAGGGCACATCATCCTTGAATACCTATGGACTACACCAGGAGCCTTATAATAGTTTCATTTCTTAGTAAGCTGCCATCCACCTTAAGACTGTCAGGATGTTGGTGAATATTCTCCCAGAAAAGCTGGATTTCGATGTTTGGGTCACTTTCATCAATCTTTAGGCACTTACTTTCTCACAAACACACATGTATCCAGATTCATGAATATCTATTTATTTCTACAATATTTTGAGGGGGCTTGCTCATCTTTCAATTAAATTCTCAGTGACTTGTTTTGCAGAGGATTTATCGTTATTTCTTGGATTTAAAAAAAAAGAATTATAAATGGACACTTTAATGTATGGTTATCACAAGAGGGAGGACAGGATGAGAAAAATGGAAATAAATATTTACAAATCTACCCCTAATATTAGAAAACCACATAAAATGATGCTAGTTTGTTCATTCAATAACTAAATACATACATACACATGCACATGTGTATATCTATAAATGTGTGTATACACATGTAATTGTGTGCATCTCTCTGTATAGAGTATAAGACAGTACCTGCCCTTGCACTCACTACCATTGGGGAAACAAGTGACATACTAGAAGTCTCCTAGTCTTCCATTCAAATAGAGCAAAGGCGCTGAAAAGGAAATGTCAATTTGGTCCTGCGGTATGGGAATGGAGAAAAGAAAAAGTGTGGTACAAAAACTTCAGAGAAGGTGGGGCAGAGAAGTTGAGTCTTAAAGAAAACATTGGTTCTCACCAAGCAGTCATAGATGGAAGGCAAACAGCCTGACAGGTTACAGTTTGTAGGTGGTTCATCAGCATTAGATGAATAGGAAGGTCAGGTCAAGAAGAAAGATACCATTGCAAAACAAAAGGTAAAATTATGGGAAAGCTTGAATGCCATTCTTTCTCTTCCCTGGAGAACCTTGGATTCAATGCTTTGGTGACATTCTGAATCCCAGTTCTGATTGGCTCATAGTTGCTGCTCCAAAATATAAGGTGAGAAGGGTTCTGGGAAGTTTTCTGAGCTCTCAGGGGAAGAGAGCCATGAATGCTCCTACCATGAATGGTCCATGTCTAGCATGAATTCATGAGCTGGGCACGACAACACAGCTGCCAATTATTGATCATTGCAGATGAAACAGGCTAGACAAGTAAAAAATATGCCTTGACTAAGGGACAAAGAAAACCACACAAAGTCACCAGACTTGCTCACTCTAGAAACATTAAGCCCTTAATTAGCCAAGCTTGGTTTTATATGCAACACTATGACCATATAATTTTAACTATGTTCTTCCAGGTGATTGATTAGTTTCATGACACTTGTTGGTGGCATATCACTATTTTCCAGGCATTTCTGGGAGTATTGAAATTTAAGACCAATATTCTCTCCAGAAAAAGTCTATTAAAATGTTAAATGGAATGAAATTTCTAGGTAACCCATACATTAAACAATCGTGTCTATTTTACATATAGACATGAATATTAAAGAGCTAGGTCAGCTACTAAATGCCAGTCACATCACTCTCATGCACTACATGATTTTCCTGGAGGAATTTTAGACTATGTGCTCCTTCCTAATTTAAGTTTCAGAGTATTCTTGTTAACTTGCCTGCTTCCTTCATCCATTTATTTCCCCAAGAATCACAAGTACAGAGTACCTATTATGCGCCAGGCTCTGTGATCTTCCAGGTAAACAGATCTAGAGCTAGCCCTCTGGGAGCTCAAATTCTAAAGGGAAAAATAGACATGTAAACAGGGAATTTCATTTTCTACTGTGTTCTCAGTCTCCAGACTTTTACTCATTCATTCTTTTTCTTTCAACTACATGAGAACTTATTTCATTTTGTTTGCAGTTGCAATGATGTTTTTGTGTTCTCTTCTCTTTAATATCTCTGCAGTAGTTTCTTTAGTTTTCAGCCTTGGAAGTGCTATCCAATCTCTCATTGAGATTATCTCCCAGGTAGTCTTTCAAAGGCCTTTCCCTATGTGATTTTTATTATTATTATTTCGGGACTGATATAGATAAATATTAAGTCCAATCCCGTTAGGCTCTCATCTTGTTCTTAGCCCTGTTGGACTAGATGCTTGCCTCTGATGTCTCTGGGACTCTGTCTTTTTAATTCCCTCATGGAATCTGCCTTAGATGTATCTCAACTAACTTCACAGCCTCATAATACCTCAGGTAGAATGCTTCAACCAGTATGTCCCTTAAAACCCAACACCAATGTGAACTGCCTGATACCCTAAATTATAGGGATTCAGAAACTGGCTAAATTGTAGCTTTATTAAAAGACTGATGACTACTTTATTGTTTTAGAAGCAATGAAGCCCCCAACCTGGTATTTATCAACAGTGAGCTTCCAGGTATACCTGGCTTCTAGGTTAAAATAGCTGAAGTACATAAAAGAGCAAAAACTTACTATCAAGTTTTAGCCAACACCTCCATGTATTAATAATTATGGGGACCATTTCTTTTATTCATTGTTTCAATTTAAATTGCTTTACTTTCCCTGGAGAACTTATACTTCAAAAAGATCATATTTTTCTCAAAGTTTCTGTTGCAAACCTGTGACTAGCAGGAATCCCAGCTGGACATTTAGTCTTTTTCAACATTTTAGTCTCTTTAGCCAGATTTGATCTGCCTCTCCTGAGCTCAACCTTGCGTCATTCAGAAAAATCATTCAAATAGCTTTCACCTCAAAGTGGTTCATTGAGAGGGTTTTGTCCCCCTACAGAGAATGATGTCTGCTCTGATTAGCATAGAATCCAGCCAGTTCTTTTTCTCTGATCAAGGACACCTTTTTTTTTTCCACCTCTACCAAAAGGTTTATAATCTACCAGCTGGAAACATTTTCTGTACAAACAACAATGTTAAAGTCTACAGGAGTGGGGTTATAAAGAAATATCTAGCACTTCCTCAGAGAAGCTTACATTATATCCAGACCTTGATTCAGAATGTGTTCTGTTCTGTTCCAGAGATGTACAAAAGATTTAGCAGAAAAGCAACCTTGCATGATGGGGGAGCTGGAAGGCCATAACCCCCACATAAGGAGAGGTCTACAATTGGAAGCATACAAATCACAGAAGTTCTTTCAACCACTTATGTCCAAATCTTGCCTTCACAACTCAGAGTAATGATCTGTTATTCTATTGATTCAGATCACAATGGGGAACCAGACTTTTCCTGAGCAGAAAAATGGGGAAAAAAATTTTTATAGCAGCTAGTCTTTAAAGAGGTCCCGCATGAACCAAATCTTCTAGTATCCATGCCTTTGTAAGATCCTTTCCCCTTGAATCAGGGGTGGATTTTGATTTGCTTGAGACCAGTAAAATATAGTACAAGGGATGCTGCCTGTCTTCTGAGGCTGAGAAGAAGTCTTGCAGTTTCCACCTTGGTCTCTAGTATGCTTACTCTGGAGGAAATCAGACTCATGTAACAAGTCTAACTTGCGAGAAAAGAAGTCACCTTGGATGTCCAGCCCAGTTGGGTCTTCTGATGGCTCTAGCCCCAGGTGACATCTGGAACACATGAAAGGAACCAACCCAGAACTACCCAGATGAGCTGACTGAAGTCACAGAAACATTAGAGATGATAATAAATCGTTGTTGTAAGCCTCTAAGATTAGTGTGGGGAGGAGCAGGGAATGGGGTAGGAAGAAAGTGGTTACACCAAAGCAGATAAAATAAAGAATATTCTAAAAATTAGGGATGCTGACTCTAAATATTGCATGGCATCTGTCCTGCATTATACAGGAATTTTATTTGAAATTATCAAAACCAAACATGTATTATCTTAAGCTACAAAAAGGGAATTTATCAATTTAATAGAAAATTCCAGCCATAACAACATCTAAACCTACAACTGATGGAATAGGATTGATCTCACTTCTTCACATCTGCTCTTCGGTTGGCTCCACTCTAAAGCAGGCTCTTGCCTTGTAATAGCAAAAGTGGCCAGCAACAGTGCTATGGTTGAAGCTTATCCTTTGAAAGCCCCAGTGGAAAGAGAGCTTTTTCTTCTAAATAATTCTAATATACATATTAATGTGCAGTATAGATAGGCTTGGCATGGGCCACAAGCACACTCTGCAAGCCAGAGATGAAATCAATACTTTTTCATAAATGCATAGAAGGAAGAGGGATTTCCTAAAGAAAACTGGGGTACTTACATTAACTAGGATATTACCTCAGTTTCCAAAAATTAAAAATGAATTCTGGAAAAAGTTCATTTCTCTCTCACATATAAGTTCAAGCAAGATAGCATTTCTCTCCTTAGAAGGCATCAGGGACCCAGGATTAATTTATTTTGTTGTTCAGCCATTATTAATATATAGATCCCACCTTTTGGTTTAAAATAGCTGCTGTAGCTCCATCCATCAAAGGACATCCTTCAAAGTCATATCCCTTCAAGCAGGATGGGGTAGAAAGGATAAAAGAAGGATATGTTTTTAGTTTTTCTTTAAGAAAAGAAAATGAAAGTCACACATGTAACTTCTACTCACATTTAATTCACCATAAGTGTGTCACTTGGCCACATCTAGCTGCAAGAGAAGCAGGGAAATGTAATCTTTATTGATGACCTCAAGCCCAACTAAAACTTCTGTTGCTATGTAAGAGGATTTCTGGGAAACAACGAGCAATCTCCAATATATAAAGTTACTAATAGAAGGGCTTATGGAGGCAGAGTGGAAAAAAATTATTCACTACAAAACACCATTATGGAATTTGTATGATTCTAAGGCTTTTTTTTTAATAATATAGGATTGTCTTTCCCTTGAAAATTATTACCAGCGGCATTACTAGTACTAATGACCCTCCATTTCTCTAACAAGAGAGTCTGTGTGATAATTCTGGGGTCTTGAGTTTTTTTTGCTTTTGTTGCTTTTGTTGTTTTTTAAAGTTTGTGCATGAATTTTTAATTTAAAAAATAGTACACCAATAGTAAAAATAGAATATGTTCATGAACCTGACACTCAAAATTATTAAATGCTATTATGTTTTAATAGAGGCTATAGACTTTTTCTCTTTTCAAAAATAAAATATTGCATATAAATTGAAATCCCCTGTGTTATACTCCCCCTGTCCTATTCTCCTCTCTTCCTCTCTAGATGAATCCCAGTTCATGAATATTGTGTGTCTTAGTATGTACTACTGTACATTCTCTAATAATAATAGCAATGATAGCAAGCATACTGTAGGATTTACTACATATAGACACTCTTGTAAGAGCTCTGCAAATATTAATTCATTAAATCTTCATAGTAACCAAGAGGTAGTTACCATTATTATCTCCATTTTATGGATAAAGAATCTGAAGCACAGAGGTTAAATAACTTTCCCAAGGTTATGGGAAAGTTATTTCCCAGTAGTGTGGAGCCAGCATTCAAATCCCTGCATGCTGACTCCAGGTCAAGTATATGCTTTTAAAATCACTGATAGCAAAGTGTCACTCCATGATATACCTCAAGAACAATAAGTGGCATTGTTTTGTTTTTCTGTAATTTCTATAAATGTTGCCATTTGTAGTATTCTGCAATATGACTTCTACACCAAAAATTTTGATATCTATCCCTACTGATAGAAATATATTTAATATTTTTATTTTACCTGCCATGAAATATTCCATTAAATAGGTATAACACAATTATATATTTCCTGGGCTGTTTTTTAAATGTTTCCAAAAAGTTGTTATTGGACAAAGTAATAACAGATTAAATGAACATTTGTTTAAAAGTTTTGATCTATATTAGATATCTTCAAGGCATATGTATTACTGAAAAATTTATTTCAAAATAAATAAGTAGAAGGAAAAATATTTCCTGCATTATCCTAAAAAGCCAACCACTGACTGGAAAATATCCCATCTAGACAACAGATACTTTGACTATCTTTCCTAGAGTTTGTGACCAAATACAGGGCAGTGGATTGTTCTCAACCAAATCAAAAGTACAGATTTCTTTTTGAACAGTACTTTTACACTCAAAATCCTCTTTTTGCATTTTCTACACACTGGGAGACTATTTTACACACCAACATAACTGTGCTATTATTTGTATTTTAATATCTCTATAATTTAGTAAATGTTTATTAAACATATATAATATATTAGGCATTCTCCTAGCTTAATATATAATATCAGTATATAATAAACTCTGCCTCCCAATTAGTGGAAGAGGATCAAGAAAAATTAATATGCAAAAGCTGTCCCAGGGAATGTGCTTAATACAAAGCAACATTTCTAAAGGAAGAATTGTATTGAGCAAAGTTTCCCAAAGTGCCTTTCATAAAGTATTAAAAGTCATCAAGTAAAGAAAAAGAAAGGGATGTTTCTTGGTCAAATAACATTGGGAAATTCTGGGACAAGCAAAGTTCAACGCATTCTCTCATTGCACAGATATAACAGTTTTAAATCTGGAATACACTTAAAAGAAGATTAAAAAATCAATAGGATCCCCAAGGAGGAGATCTAACAATTTTGAATTTAGAAATTTGGTGAGTCAGCAATCCTATTTCTGGGTATCCATAAAAGTAAAATCACTATCTTGAAGAGATGTTTGTACTCCTATGTTCATTGGATCATTATTCACAATAGTTAAAATACGGAAACAACCTATATGTCCATTAACGGATGAACAGACAAGCAAAATATGTGCGTGTGTGCATGTGTGTGTGTGTGTACACACACATACAATGGGATATTATTCAGCCTTAAAAAAAGAAGAAAATTCTGCTATTTTGGAAAACAGATGAATCTGGAGGACATTATTATGCTAAGTGAAATAAACCAGACACAGAAAGACAAATACTACATGATCTCACTTGTATGTGAAATCTTTAAAAAATGTCAAACTCATAGAAACAGATTATAAAATGGTGGTTACCAAGGGCTAGGGCTTGGGGTCAAAGAGGAGATATTGGTCAAAGGGTACAAACTTTCACTTATAAGATGAATAAGTTCTGGAGACCTAATGTACAGCATGGTGACTACAGTTAAAAATACTGTATTGTATACTTGGAATTTGCAAAGAGAGATCTCAGGTGTTCTCACCACACACACACACACAAAAAGGTAACTATGTGTAGGGATGGAATGGATATGTTAATTAGCTTGATTGTGGTAATAATTTGGCAATGTATACACATATAAAAACATCACATTGTATACCTTAAATAGATACAATTCTTATTTATCAACCATATCTGGAAAAAAAGAGGTTGATCAATAGTGAAACAAATTTAGTATAGGTATTAAATTAAAAGCTAGAGACTCCAAGATGGAAGCGAGTTATCAGAAACTGATCCAACCAAATAATATCTAAATATTACTGCCCCAAAAGTTGTGTCACATAGCACTAGAAATGCAAGATACCACATACACATTCATAGCTAAATAAATTATTTTAATACTAAACCCATGAATAAATTTGGAAAATGTTTACTACATTATTCTTTTAAAAAATCTTTTAGAAGGCCCTTGAGCCTTTGAAAAGGTCACATTATATTTACAAAGTGGAAGAAATTAAAATCAATTCTCATCCCAATTTTCTATCTACGCCTCCCAAATAAGTCTTGTCTCTGCCATGTAAAATAGAGCTCTAACTGTGAGTGCCAGTTGGGATTCAATCTTTCATTCAACCATGAAGCACTTATTGATCAAAATACATTAAGACACAGAGACAAATAAATGAGGTGGAGCCCTGGAATGATATGTAAATAGTGTGCTAAGACTGTGGCCACTAGGAATGCCCTCATCATGAAGCTCCCAACTTTGAGAGCTGCCAACTTTGAGACGCAAGGAGTTATTTGCAAAAGTCCATAATAATCCTCTCTCACACTCCAGGAAACCTACACTAGAGGCACTTAGAGAAATTCAAGTGCTTTGGCAATTTATGCCTGCATACACTATTAAATAACACCATTTTGCATAGAAATAGAATGTCTTCATAGATTTATGAACACTCCTTTGGTCTCTTAAAAAGACACGTGCTAGACTAAGACAATATTATATCAAAATATATATGATAAATGAGCTAAATTAGGTGGCCTGACATGCTTTACTGTCCCAAATTTGGCATGTTTGTAGCTTCTCTGGGGAGCAAGATTGTTTTTTTATCGATGTACTAAAATATCTTTGATCTCATCTCTTCATTTCTTCTCTCACTGTGTTTTTATCCCTGGTGCTCTTTCCCAAGAGCTACCCACAGCCCATGAGAGAATATCTCAGTTATAGAATTTGTGACTGGAAAAAAGAAATCCTAACAAAACATGTGATTTAATCTCCTTATATTACAGGTTTAAAAATTAAGATGAAGGAAGGCTAAGGGCTTGTCCAAACTTTCCAGAACCAATTAGAGCGTTGGGCAGGACAGTAAAGCAAGTCACTTGGGCTGTGTCAAGTGCACAAGTGTGCCCACATCCCTCGGATGAAATGGCTGAGATGTCGTCCAAGTTCTATGCTAAGAATTTTTTATGTTCAAGCATTGGAAGGTTGGTTTGTGCACAATCTGCAAGCTAGATAGTCCAGTAGCAAAATAACCACTTCCTGAATCTTGATTTATTCAGAATGGGCAAGTACAACAAATAAGTACCTACCTTTTGGAAGGGAAATTCACATGGCTGGCTCCTCCTCCTGCTCCAAATCACAGCTCAAACATCACACCTTCAAAGAGCCCTTCTTTGGCCATACTACTTAAATACTCTCCATGGCTCTATAGCTTGTTATTCTCTTTGTTTCCTTTGTAGTACATACTGCACCCAGAAAATCAACTCATTTACTTGTTTATTGTCCTTCCTCCAGCCATCCCCCACTGGAGTGAACAATCCTTCTCATTTATCTTTTTCACCATCGTGTGCCTGGTGCCTAATTTAGTATCTGGTACAAAGAAGACACTCAGTGCCTGAGTGGGTGAAGCCAAATCCAGATGGCAAATGGGAGAGAAGAGGACCAGATAGCTGCAGGACCTTCCAGGGTTCTTGTAGGAGAGGGATGCAGGAGCACTGGGGAGGACTTTCTGATAGAGGGGCAAACACCTGATGGAATGTGAGCAGTTGAGAAAAGGTCAGACAGCAGGAGCTGCACTAGAGGGGGTTAGATACATGCAGAGTGTAGTGGGAGGCAGCTTGGAGCCTCTTGTCAGAGGCCTGGGAGCTGAGCTCTTCCTGAGTCAGTTGGGTGGGAGTTGCCTACGGAGGTGTTATGCAGCTTGATCTTTGTTTAGGCTGTGAATAAAAATGTTTCTGAAACACCACAATCCTTTTCTCAAATCTTTCTGTTGCCACTACCAGAGCCCCTCATCCTCCACCCTGCTACCCCTGCCATTCCACAAGAAGCCACTGTGACCAGAGGAGGAAGTCTTGGTCAACATGAATCCAGCCATATTTCTACTTTTTCACAGTGCCTCCTGCATCAGATGCCCTCTGCAGTTACTGGAATAACCAACTGGCGCTGTGCTCATGATCACTGAGAAAAGGTATCTTGGGAGATCCCTGAAGGCAGCATGCCAGAACCCAGGAAAGAGAGATTTCAGGTCAGGCCACCAGGGAAGAAATTCATGTGCACCTTTCCCAAGGACTTAAGGTTTTCAAAATCCTCCCTAGGACAGAAAGTGTGGCAGCTGCGGTAGTTTTCTGCACTCCCTCCTCCCCAGCAGATAAAAGACTCCACATGTGTTGTCCAGACATAAGCCTGTTTCGTCAGTGTCCAAACCACTGAGCCCAGAAACTTCTGCTTTGCCCACTTCCAGTTGCATGCATTGCCCACACCAGCCCTCCTAAAATGATAAACTAAACCTGTGGCTGAATAAAGAGGTAACAATTTGCGAATGTAATAGCTGAGGGTGAATGAAACTCCAGAGCTGCTGCAAATACGTAAACAATCGGGCGCTATGTGATGTATAGAGAGAGCTACAGCACCCTAGCCCAACGGAAAGAGTGAGACTGGGATAGAAACGGACTTTGGAACACAAAATTATGTAGTATGGGGAGACAAAGCTTTCCTGACTATGCTGGGAATTGCACTAACACATCCCACACATCTTGTGGAATAGGCTGAGCTGTAGTATGGCCATGGTCTCTGTGCTTCTCTTATTAACTGATGCCCCATGGGTTGGCCCCCAATATTCAACTTAGAGTACTATTTTCTCCCTTAGGGACCCATTCTGTTTCCAGACTCTTTATTAAATGAATTTCTTTTGCTGTGGGTTTATCTTAGAAACAAGTTTGGTGGAAACCTATTATGTATCTTCCAGGCACTTTCTTTTGAAAACAGTCTTCCAATCTCCTCTCCTTCAATCTATTCATCTGATTCCTGCAGAAACTCCCATGCTTCACCTTGTCCTCTGGCACTGGCCATAGTTGATTGATCCAAGAATAGACACCTGACCCAAACTGAGCCAGTTGTTGGCCCAGCTGTTCCTGAGGAACAACCATATTCATACTTTTTAGCTCCTTAAGATAAAGTTTTAATTAACACAGGAAAGAAGGAAAAGAAAGACTTAACATACACCTACCATTGAGCTATCATCAATGAGTAAAGATGTTTGAAAACAGTGGTTCACACCTGGGGGCTATTTTGCCCTCTCAGGAGAAACTTGGCAATGCCTGGAGACACTTATTTTTTGTCAGAAATGTGCAAAAGAACCACCACAACAAGAATTATCCAGCCCAAAATGTCAATAGGATTGCTGTTTCAAAATCTTGTTCTTAATAAAAAGCCATTCACATTCATTCATTTTAAAATATTTATTTAACCAACACCTGTGAACTTTTTATAATGTTCTATACATTGAGTTAGTAGCCAGGGCAAATATGACAGTCATTGATCTTGAGTAGTCACAGTCTGAAGGAGAAGACTGACAAACTAACCAACAATTACAGTACAGTGAGGCAAATGTGCAATGCTAGAAGTATGCATAGTAGGATAATACAACTCAGTAGAAGGGTATCTATCTAACTCACTTTGGGGAAATAAAGGAAGTTTCCTGGAGGAGATGAGGACTGAGTTGAGTTTGATAGGGTGTGTAGTGCTAAATGAGATGGAGAAGAGTGGGAGGTGAGAGAAAGTTTTCCATTTATAGAAACACACGTAGTTGCTCAAACACCAGTGTATCCATTCATTTAGCATTTATTCATTCCATAAACATTTACCGAAAGAGAAAGTGTAGCATAGCGGTTAAGAGTAGAGACTCTGCATCTGGATTTGCCTGGTTTCATGTCTTAGCTCTGATACTCTCCAGCTGTGTAACCTGGGGCAAGTTGCTTAACCTCTATGTGACTCCATTTCCTCATGTGTAAAATAAGGATAAATAACAGAATTTTCCTCCAGGGATTGTTGTGCAGAATTAGGACATAAATATGTGATAAGCTAATTCTAAAGCAATTACTATTATTATCCTCGCTATTATTCAGTGCCAGACACCTGCTAGGTCCTGGAGATAGAAAGGTAAATAACACAGGCATTTTACCCGTCCTCATGAAGCATACCATCTACTGTGCAATATGTCAATGCAGTGAAAGAACAAGTCAGGAGGACTTTCAAATTACACAGGAGGCAGCAGTTGACTAGATTAAGTCAAGGTATCAACCAGCCCCAATACCCTAGTGGTTTGTCACATCATATGCTTTCTTCACATTTCGGCTAGATGGCTGGAGCTCTTCTCCAAGTTCCCCCAGTCAGCAACTCAGACAGACAGAGCCTCCAACTGCCTGGATTTTGGCTCTTAAAGGCTCCTCCTCAGATGTGACACACACTACTCCTGTTTACATTTCATTGGTGAAAGCAAGTTACATGACCACAACATACTTCAAGGTGGTGGGAAGGTGCAATCCAACCATGTGTCCAATAAGAGGATAATGAAAGGATTTGTAAATGGCCCTAATGATGGGCATAGCCACCCAACCTGGCAGTGCAGGGTCAGAAGAACTTCATTTGGTAAGTAATATTTTACCAGAAAGGTCATAGTAAAGCAGGAATTAACCAGGTACAGAATGGGATGGGATGATTTCAGGCAGCATCGAGAAAACTGTTTAGGCAGAGACATGGCAAGAGAGGAGGCTGAGAGGTTGTCAGGCAAGATTGTATCTGACCTACCATATAAATGTGGAACAAATTGAATGAATGTTATCTTGAAGCAAGAATTGTCATGAAAATGTTTTGAGAATTAGATTTGCACTTTAGAAGATGTCTCTGGTTAAAATATGTAGAATGAATTAAAAATGACTGGATGGGAGGTGGGGATATCAGTTAGGAGAAACTAGCTGTAATACAGGATAAACCAGGAGAGAAATGTGAGTGGTAAGCAGAGAAAAGCATGCAAATCTGAGGCATCTAGGGAATGGGGGCAATGGCAAAAAGATGCTTGTTAGTTTTCTGATTTGGCAACCAGTGGATGGTAGTTTCATTCACCAAAAAGAAAATATAGGATGCAGAGGAGGCTTGGAGGAAAGATGAAGGGTTTTAGTCTTAGAGATATTGAGTATGAGAAACTTTCATGCTATCCAAGTGGAGATGTCTCACAAGCAGTTATTTTATAGGTGGGGAGGTCAGGAGGAGGTCTGAGAAAGAAAAATAGATTTGGAGCACATCAGGATATGGAAGTTAACTGAAGATACTGAAGTAATAATATTGCTTATTACAAAATCAAAAGAGAAGAAGGCACGGGATCCCCTAAAGCATACCAACATTTAAAGCACAAGAAGGGAAAGAGGACCTCAGAAAGAAGACCAGGAAAGAATATTCAAGAGAAGGGGGAAAACCCCAGGAGAGCGTGACACCAAGGAAGTAAAAGGAAGAGAATATTTCAGAGGGGAGTAGTCATTAGTGTCAATCCTGCTGAAAGATTCAGATAAGAAAATATTAAATAGGCAATTTCTGATAAGAAAATACCAATGGGAAGTTAGCAAGAAAGAATTCCTTGGCTGTGTTGTCAAGAGACGTTCTAATGTAATGGTGAGGGTGGGAGCCAGATCATGCTAGAAAGATGAGTTAGCAAGAGGGAAGGAAATAGAAGGAACGGGTGTGGCCAGATCTTCCGGGAGGCTTGCAGATGACTAGGAGGAAGGTTAAAGGGCTTCTACTTCGTGTTAGGTCATGAAATTAAATCTAAGACATTGTTCTTGCCTTTGAGGTACTTAAAATCCAGCAGGATATAATAGCACATATCAACAAAGAAGAACAAGGCAAAGAGACACCTGAGCCAGGTACCATGGAGTTCAGAGGAAATAGTTCTCACTGGTGATTTGAGGCTAAATTTAGGGGAAGCCTCAAAGAGGCAGTAGTACTTAATCTGGCCCCCAAAGAAGGAGTAGAACTTAGAATCATGAGGTTATGGCTGGGAGGGAGAAGAAAGCAAATAAAAGCACAAGCAAGCAACAGCATTTGAGAAACAGAAAGTAGTTCATTTTGGCTGGAGCAGAGAGGTAGATTTAGAAAGGGTTCACATATCATGTGTTTGATAGTTTTCAAAAGGGGCCTTAGGGAGCCCTAGGATTTCTACAGAGATGACACAAGTGAATTTTCTAGATCAGAGGTGGTAAACTACGACCCTTGGGTCAAATTCAGCCTGTCAGAAATTTTTCTAAATCACTTTTTACTGGAACACAACTGCACCCACTTATTTACATACTTTCTATGATTGCTTTCTACACTCCGATGGCAGGCTTGAGTAGTTGAGAAAGAGACTATATGGCCCAAAAAGTCAAAAATATTTCCTATCAAAAGTTTTCCAACCCTTGTTCTAGGTAGTGGAAGCCT